ATCAGGATTGGAGGCTAGAAAAGAAGTCATCTGACGTATTTGTGCCTGATAATAACATTAAAGATGATGCAAGAAGTAGCAGATTTAGTTCTACGTCAGATACAAATGTAGACGAAGAGGCACCTCTAATGGCATCTTCAAGGCTGTCATATATTGGACGTTCACAGCTTAGTAGCCGAGATGCATAATGAAGATGCAGCATTCTATATATAAAAATTAATCTGCAGGTATTCATACATGGGCAGCAGCAATGGCAAGCTGCACAAGGAAAAGAAAGTGAATTGGCAAGTAATCTTCCTTGTGGAAAGCAAACAGCATATTGGTTATTTTCCTTGTGTTGTGCAGTTATATACCAGAAGGGGGCATGCGAAAATTGGCAACTAGTTTATTAGTTTTCAGGAGGAAACATCAATTTATTACAAGACATGGTTTTAATTCTCGAGTGTAAAAGATAATCTCATTGGATGTTTCAAGTCGATTATAATACCACACATGTCTATTAGACGGACAAATGCAATGCAAAGTGTTGCTATTGGTGGGGATTAATAGAGATGCATATGGCTTCTTTATTTGGTTTTGATGTTACTATCAAATCAACACTGTTTGCTTGTAAGTTATTGCATTTTTATGTTGTTTTAAATTATATGTTTGAGCTATTGATATCTTATCAGTTCATATTTCAATTGTAATCCAATCAATTAACATAAGTTACGATTTTGGTCCCTTTGCTTTTCTTGGATTATGACTTTACAGTCTTTTTATTGCAATTTTTTTATCAAATACAAACCGAAAACAGAAGCTAATCAATTTTAACTTTAAATTGATCATAGTGTCCTCAATCACTAATGGGGAAGGATAAAACGAAGCAAAAGTACATGCCATAAGGGCAAATTTCCAATAACAAAACAAATACATTTGCTGTTGGATGGGGATTTTTATTTTTCATTTATTTATAAAGAAAAAGTTTTTCTTTTTCCTATAACAATGCTTTTCAAATAAAATAATTAAGAAAAACTTTTATGCAAAAAATAAATAATACATCAAATCTTATCGGCAAAAATAAAAATCTATGTTAGGACATAGAAACGTCGAGAATGCTATCGTTCATGTATTAAATTTTTTGTTATCCTCAGTTGGTACGTTCTTTCTCTTCTTGTTCCAAAATGATAAGAGCTTAGCTTAAGACAATCAGGTGATATCCAACCAGCCCTTGTAACTTATGTATTTTCTCTGTGCATACGTTGAATGGATC